AGTAACGAAAATCTTGGTAATCCGTATGGATAATACCAAAGAGGATGAAGTCCGGAGAGCTCAATGTTATGTCAGAGCCAATAATTCAATCTAAATAAAAAACAGACCACTTTAAGGTTCCATCGTTATAATTTATTTCACCAGAAATTTTATTTTTCTCTGGATCTTCTGATTCACTTAAAATTTACACTTTTGAAGGGCAGTATTAAGCTTATATAAGGTGACATAGAGGGTAGCGAGGGATAGTGTGAGAGACATGGTCGAAATTAGAGGGGGAAGGGAGAATTTTAAAATTTATTTTTATTTTTTTTAAAAAACTTAATATTGAGGAGGTGTGGGGTAAAGATCAGACCTATTTAATCGTTCAACTCACATGAAATGATACGGAAAAAAAGAAAAAAGGGGTAAGTAAAGAGATAAGAAACAAGAGATTGGTGGAGGGTTTTTTGAAGGAAGGAAGGAGGGGTGGTATAGCTTGATGTTTGGGCAATTTATGAGAGGGGTGGTATTTATGAGAGGGTGATATTCCTTGATGTTTGGGCAAATTTTTTTTTTTAGATTAAATTTTATATATATATATATATATATATATATATATATATATATTATTTTTTAAGAAAAACAGACCAATTTAAGATCCATTTGTAATAATTTATTTCACCAGAGAATTTTATTTTTCTCTGGATTTTCAGACTTCACTTTCAAAAGGTGAAACGAAAAATGAATTTAAAATTTACACTTTTGACGGACAGTAATAAACTTATATAAGTTGGCACAGAAGGTAGTGAGGAATTGTGTGAGAGACATGGTCGAGTTTAGAGAGGGAAGGGAGAGTTTTAAAATTTATTTTTATATTTCTTTTTATTATAATACTTAATATTTGGGAAGGAGTAGGTAAGGATCAGAAATTGACCTAATTAATCGGTCAACTCAACGGAAATGATATGGGAAAAGGAAAAAAGAGAAAAAAGAAAAAAGTAAAGAGATAAGAGATGTGCGTTGGATTTTTGGAGGAAGAAGAGGGGTGGTATAGCTTTAGCAATTTAGATAAAAACAGATTTTAACGTTTGATAGTAATTTAAATGTTTAAAAACTTCACAAAAATATTAAATTTAATGCTTGTTAACAATTTAAATATTCAACTTCTCCACAAATAAATTAGGGATTTAATATAAGCCGAATACTATATTAATAAACAACAATATTAATTAAAAAAATACATTTACTACTAATAATATTTTAATATTGTGAATGACTGTTAAGGTAAAATCATTATCAGTTAGAGTCTAATTCATGAATTTAATTAGTAGCTATTTTTAGATGGGTAATATTTATTAATTATACATTCATACAAAAAAAAAGGAGTTACAACAACATTTCCTTTATAACCGCTTTAAGGATCACGTGGCAACAAGTCACAACACCCTATAACTATAAAAAATAAATAATAATAAGTTAACAGATTTAGTCATCTAGAACCAACAACCCAGGTAAGTACATTACCCCTTCCCCCCCTGAACTGTCAATTTCTCTACAATATATATATATATATATGTATATATATATATATATATATATATATATATATATATATATATATATATATATATAAATAATTATTTAAAAAAAAATTATAATTTAACCTCTACTTCTGTATGGAGCACTGTTTTTTAAAAATAAAAACAAAAATACTAAAGAACTCCGGATTATGTACCTAACGTGTTCTTTCCTGTTTTTCTTCATATCTACACACACACACACACACACACACATATGACTAAAATAATGGAAGCTCTAATAATGAAAAAGAAAAATCCAACTCTTAACAATATTAACTATGAACAAAGCCACAATGTGCTAACCGTATTCGGAAATTAAAAACATCCCTACCACACACTGAACACACACACTCAACTTAGCTGAAAATCGAATCATCCTTGATAATGGCTAAAGTATAGCTGAAAGCGCTCGGAAATATAAAACATTCGGACAGTTCTTACACACCCTTTGTCCAGAAAAGAAAGCTCTTGTTGGAACACAAGAAAAATTAAATAAAAAGCTCAACCGTAGTACCTTGTCTGTCGTTTTTAATGAAACATGAATAAAGGAAGGATTACTGCCTATATATATATATATATATATATATATATATATATATATATATATATATATATTTCTGTTTACACGTTATTTTCTTGCATAAAAACTTATTTGAGTAAATGTTTATTTTAGTTAAACAGTATTAATTACATTTACCGGCCCGAATGTTCGAGAAATATCGTGAAAATATTTCTCGAACATTCAGGCCGGTAAATTTAATTAATACTGTTTAATTAAAACAGAGTATTTACTCAATTATGTTGAATCCATAAAAATAACGTATGAACAGAAAATATATTAAAATATTTGTCGGATTTAATTAACCGATTTCGTCTAATATGTATATATATATATATATATATATATATATATATATATGAGAAGAAAGAAGAAAGAAAGAAAAAAGAGAGGTAGGTAAATCAAATAACTATATATTAGCAACCGAATATGCGCACGTTAGCGTGTATACACAGGTAAGCAAATAAATATTTACTAAATTTACTTTAAGGTGTAAGCATAAGAGTTCTCAATGTTGTTAGGCAGATAAAAAAAAATATATATATCAAAAATATATATATCAATAAATATATTTATACCTACGTTTGGGGTCCGACTTAAGTTTCGTTGTTTTACCAACTCATCAGCCACGCGATATAATTTTTGAAAATAGGACGTACGTACGGGACCATTAAAAAAAAATTAAAAGGAAGTTCTAAAGTTTAAAAGAGGAACGCTGGTTGAAGCTTTGAGTGAAAATATACGTTAAAATGGTTAAGGGGGGGTAATCAGTATATAGCCTAAAATGTCGGATGTGAAAGCAAAATTTGGATAATATATTTTTATCCAGAATTAAAATATTTTAAGATAAAATACTTTCTATGACTACAATGTAGAATGTGTTCATTTCCTTTATTAAAGCAAATTTAAATTATTAATATTTTTGAGGATGAATCTTTTTCCCAGCAAACACAGGTTGCATCGTTCGCCTCCGCAGGAAAGGGCGTACTTTTTGCGGCGAAATCCCAATTTGCTACCAGTGTGAAGTCATCTATTCTAATATCCCAGTAAAATTTTGAAAGTGCTGTTGCTTTTGCATATTTCTTATTATTGAGGGTCATTTTGTGATGATAAAATCTCGTCTTCCAGCTATTTTGTCTTGAACCGAAATAAAATTTGCTTTCGCTGTTATGCCTAATACTAGCCTTATAGATGGCGCCTTTACACATACATTTGTTATTCATCGGACAGATAATGCCTTTACGGCAATTAAACTTTTTATTTCCTGTATTAATATTGCTATTACTGTTCTTAAGTATTTGTTTAGAGTTACGCTATTATGCTGTGCCATATATTGCTCAAGGTTTCTTGTGCAGCTGTAACTAATTTTAATGTTGTTCTTATTGAAGATTCTGTTGAGTAAAGGATTATAGCTGAAATGTTCGTGTATTAAGTTTAGGACAATCCTACCGATGTTGGTTCTGACATTACTGTTAAAAGGTGGGTTAAACCAAATTATATTGCGTTTTTTATTCTTACGTTTACTATTAGTATTCTTTCTATTGTTTGGAATGTATTCTAGTTTAATATTGTGTTTACTCTTATTTAGTGCATCGACATATTTAGTTATATATTTGTCAAAGATATTTTAGTTGCTAGAGTTAGTAGAGAGTCCGTGTTGTACATATCTGTGCAAGTTATTTAGGATTCCTGGTGGGTGGTTAGATTCTTTTACGAATGTATATATGGTTATAAAGCTCTTTAGTATAAGGCATGTGCACTCCTCTAGGTAGATCGAAAATAGTGGCCAGGAAGTTGATCACCTTGGCGTTGGCCATAGTGGTGATTTCGTTGCCAAAATTACACCCTTTTCCCATCGAGGCGAACGATGCAACCCGTGCTTGCTGAAAAAAAAGATTCATCTTCAGAAATATTAATAATTTACATCTGTTTAATAAGCAAAATGAACTTATGGTAGGTTGTAGTAAAAGAACTTCCTCTTAAAATATTTTAATTCCGGATAAATATATTATCCAAATTTCGATTTTCACACATATATATATATATATATATATATATATATATATATATATATATATATATATATATATATTGATTACCCCCACTTTAACCATTTTAACATATATTTTCAATCAAAGCCACAACCAGCTTTCCTCTTTTAACGTTGAAACTTGCTTTTAATGAAAAAAGAATTTAATGCACACTACCTTCACCGTATCTTCTGTATTTACACTCCAATATTATATTTGACTTATTTTAAATTTGAGCTTAAATCTGCGTGTAATTTAACGTTGCTCCCATGAGATCCAGTTTATTTTTAAAAAAATCATGTTATATCTTGTGTCTGATGTGTTGGTAAAACAACGAAACTTAAGTCGCACCTCAAACGTAGGTATATGTATATTTATTAACATATCTCTCTCTCTTTCTCTGTCTATCTGTCTGTCTCTATATATATATATATATATATATATATATATATATATGTAAAATTGGCTAGACAGTATTTCTAAACACATCCGACGCTAGAAAGTTCAGTTTTAAACCCCGTGTTTTCAGCGTTTCTGTGTGTAAAATCATAACTGATGTTTTTTTGTTTGCATTTCGTTCCCCTCACCTAGATATATAAGATTCCAACGATGAAAACAATTAGTCATTTTTTATTTCCATTTTATCATTCAATTACCCTCTTTCGTATACCGAGTCATATGGATGTCATATTCTATTTAAACATAAAAAGAAAGATTTGAAACAGAAAATATTATTTCGGTAAATATCGAGAATACAATGAACAGCTTCTGCGACAAAAAAAGCAAGTTTTACAGAGAATATGAGGTAAAAATAAACTGTTGAGACCGATCAGAAAGCTACAGCTGAAATTTTGAGGCCACATCACGTATAAACACCAGTTCCTGTACGATCGCCGAAGTTAACACAATCGAGCCTGGTCAGTACCTAGATGGGTAACCGTTTGGGAATACCCGCTGGTATAAGGTTGGATGTGCGAGCGGTACAGTGAATAATGACTCGGAATTGTTAATCGGAAAGCCGAGTTCAAATTTCATTTGGGGGTCGTTATAATCATTTACGCGTAAAATACCATTTACAAAGATGTGAATCCGCTTCCTCTCTTCTGAGCTATAATTTAACCAGTAAGACTTGTATTATATAAAATAGAGAAAATTCTTATAATCTAAATATATATATATTATTCAGTCTTTAAATAACCTGCAAAAGGTTGACAAGCCGTAAAATATGAATGAATGAATGTATCAATAAAGTTTGGAAGAAAAATAACATCATGAGGGAAAATTGCTTGGAGAAATATATACTCACATGAAACCCCAGAGATGCTGAGGAAAACATCACGTTTGATAATTTTATTTAAATGAATGACGGAAGAAGTATTATAGAGAAATCTGAGAAATTCGATATGGTGTAATGGTTAGCAAGTTGGTCTCGCTAGATCAGTTCCAATTGAGTAATGAATTTGATCACCACTGAGTGTTTTCGGCCTTGTGCCACATCTAAGCTACGCTTAGTATATCGCTGAATCGAAAACCTTTAACAAGGTGTGGCGTAAGAGGTTGCTGCACAAGCTATGGAATCACTGGAAGTCTTAATTATCAAGTCCGTATTAACAGGTAGGCTCATGAAGTTAGTTTTTCATGGACAGTCCACCTTGAGGTTAATGTATATATCTCTCAAGGCTCTCTTATCTGTCCCACGCTCTTTCTGCTAAAATTATAACTACTTGAACAACTTAAGATTCAGCTTTCTGGTTTAATGATCTTCTCAAGAGTATACTACGTTGATTTGTGAATATCTATGCAAATCATACGACATGATACGGGTGCTACTGTAAAATTGTAGATGACCACGGCTTGGCAACTGATCTACCATCTGACATCGCTGAATGGGGAAAAAACTGTTTAGTCATATTTAATGCCTCAAAAACCAAACTAGTGACGTTCTCTCATGTTGATCTTGAATTCTACTCTATCGCAATCAACAGGTGTTCTCTCAAGAGTCGTAACTGTTCCAGCGAGACAAGCTTTCTAAGCCTTAAACCACATCAAGTTATTCCATATAGCGATTTACTAAGCGTTGCTTAGATATTACACAAGGTCGAAAGTGTGGATCACCTAGTGAGGATCGAACTCATTACTCATTCGTGATTGATCTAGCGAGACAAGTTTGGTACACAATACGCCACATCAAGTTCTAATACGATCGTATTACAATATCCTATCTATTAGAAATCTTGTGTCAGTTCAGTAAAAGTGTTGCGCGAGTGAGAAGAGAAAAACTTTATTACTGAGGGAATCATTCACATTACAACTTCCTTACTGAATAAAATTAACATATATCTTTATTTATTTTTCTAAGAGTGTTTTCTTTCTTTTCTATTTCTTTCTCTCTATCTCACATGCCCAAGTATTCAATTGATTTTCGGTTACTTATAGAATTAGCGTTATTGTGTGATTCAGTGCTACTGCGAATCATTTACCCTTGTTACACACCATTCTTCAACTGACTCATTCATTCGCAGTTAAGTCACGAATCCATTCATAAAAAAATATTTTTCCTTCCAGTTTCCATCATTCGCTTTCTAGTTCAAATTCTTACAAACTTTAAGGCGAACTGCCATTTTTGTTCACTTTTCGTTTGTTGCAAAATCATTCATCTTTTTTCTAAGTTTCGGACTTTTCTTTTTTTCTTTCTTTTTTATCTTAAATGTTTTTGCCGTTTATTTATCCCTTACTTTTCTTTCTTTCTTTCTTTCTTTCTTTCTTTCTTTCTTTTTTTCTTTCTTTCTTTGCATCTCTATTCATACCCAAAACTTTTTATCATCTTTTCTTCTTTCCATTCTTGATTCTATTCTTTCCAGTTCCGTTCCAAAACGCCGAGTGCACCTGTCCATCAATTTTGCTTCTTTTGCAGCTTTCGATTATACCCGCCAAAAGCAACTAATTCACTTTCCTTTTTTTTTCTACTATTACATTTAACCTTTTCTCTGGGTCTCTTTTCACCTGCACAATTTGGCTTGGTCAGATAATGATTCAGCTCCTTTAATGCCGACAATGTTTTCTACAATAAACTATTTGGTACCGTCTTACGTGACAATCGCAGACTTTACAAGTAAATACACCCTCGCAGACAACAGGAAAAAAAAGTAGATCGCATGTTATCATATTTACATATCGAAAAATCGGGTTTAAATTCCGAGCTAGATGTCTGTGATCACTTGAGCGCAATTACCCTTGAAAAGGTCATAGGTCTGCCTCTTCTCCTCCTGGTTTAATTAGAAGGTAAACAAAAAATGCCCTTGCCGTTTTTTTACAAGTGATCACTAATGCGCAAATTAGTGCGTCACCATCCAGGACAGTGGTGGATGGGGTGACATTTCTCTTGACCAATGTAGAGGCGTTGCGCATAGACATCGGTCATAGCTCAAGCAGTGGCGTGGAAATATGGCGGTGTCGCAGCAGCTCGTTCAGAGTTGCCTGCTTTACTACTTTAACTTAGGCTTGTCTGTATCAAGTGTCTAAATACATCAAGTCATTTGAGTATATGACCATGAGTGAACGCACCGCCAGGCATTGATGCTAGAAAATTCAGGTTGGGAGATTTGTTCTTTTGTATTGCAACCTGCAGTGCCGGTTGCAGGTCCTGAATGACGAGGCCTTGAAAGTTGCCATAGTTGAGGACAACATCCAAATCTGTGGTGAGTTTGCCGAACGCCTCCAGGTTTCTGGGGAAACAGTCAGATTTCACCTGTACTGTATAGGGAAGGCGTACAAGTTGGTGCCCCTCGCACTAGTAGAAGCCAACAAACAACAGCGTGTGACCGTTTCACGTTGCCTTTTCGGCACTGCAACTTAACAACATTTAATCGAGTGCACATTGGTGACGTAAAGTTGATAATGTATGATATTCCCAAGTGTGCAAGATATTGGTTGTCACCACGGGACCCTGTGCCTCACACCACAAGACCACCTCTACACCCACGCAGGATCATGCTCTGTATTTAGTGGACTAGTCGACAAGTGGAGCACTATAAGCTGCTACCAACGGACCAGTACTCTCAGCAGTTGGTACGTGTGCAACAGGCAGTGAAGCAGAAGTAGTCAACATTGATTAATCGCAAGGGTGTACTGTTCCTTCATGACAATGCTAGGCCTCATATAACGCGGGTGGCCAGGGATACCAAACAACGACTTAGCTAGGAGACACTGTGACATTTCACCTTAATCCTCGGACCTTGCTCAAAAAGAGTATCACTGCTTTTTTTCTCTGGACAACCACCGGGAAATCCCTCGGAAATGAAATATATTTGCGGCAGGCATTCACAGATATTTTAGTGTCAAAGAAACTTAATTGCCAGGGCATTGCGAAGCTGGAGGCACATTGGTAAATGTTTCTGGATGCCGATGGGAGTTGTTTTGAGGACTAAAAAATGTCACATTTGCTGTAAACATTTTTTCTAATAAATAAAAAACGACAAGGAATTTTTTTGGTTACCTTGCAGTATCGAAGATCGGGTTTACATCGGTTAAAAAGCAGAGAAGGAAATCTCTGAATTCTAAACTGTCGAGAATTCTATGAGATTTCTTTCCTCAAGAATGGCAAATATTTATGGCAATTCATATGTAATAAAGGAGTCTGCGAATGGATACCTTCGTCCACGCCCAGAATGAACATGACATTAAAAATATTTAAACACAATTTAAGTTTTTCTGATACATAAATAATAGGCATAATATTTATTTTTATTTTTTTTTGTGGCGGCCCAACAATTTCCCCAGCAGATATTTCCCAGTATATTTGTCTACCCACACTTTATCGATTGCTTTTATTTTCCTTTGTTTACTTAAATTCTATACCAGGTGTCTACTTGTAATATATTTTCGGTAAGGTGATTGCTGCAGCGACAACGACGCTGGTGAAATGTCTGGCGGGTTTCTGTATTCGAATACCATCTCCCTTACTGTTCTTCATTTAATAATTGTCGACCTATATGATTTGATAAACCGGAGTGAGGTGGGTTCTTTTGATATTTGTTTAGCTTCTGAAAAATATACGGTAAATTTATTCGCTTTTCCGATACTGAGTTACCATTGATAAAAGACGCAGAAGAAGACGCCAGAAAAAACCCCAAAAAACAAAAAAAGATGAATGAATCTGGATTCTAAATTACATTACGTAAAACCAAAAAAAAAAAAAATGAACCCCCTCCCTCCAAAAAACATAAAAAACCATTTACATCCGATTGTCTAGCCAGGATGTAAACGGTATCGATTTATTTTGCGTAGAGCTCAGTAAAAGATTTATCACACCAAAATTGGTAATTATTTTTTTCGGCCAAGAAACAGGTGTATTTCATCGTTGGACTAGAATATGGTACATAAGTTGTGTGCCATCGGCGCCATTGGAGTTGCAACTGCAATCTGAACAAATAATTTGTCGTATAATATTCAATACTGAGTCATTAAACACGAAATCATAAGGAAATATTGGACACTGACATCTGTCAGTGTTTAATGTTGTAAGATGACAGCTTTTTGTCGACCTCGATTTTGAACAGTTGGGTTTGAAAAATTTACATCAGTGAATGAAAGTATAGTGCGCTTTAGGCCTAAGCAGTACTTTCTTTAATTCCTATTGTCTTTTCGCAGCAACAGAGCAATAACTTAGTATATATCTGCCTACTCATGGTACCATTATAATTTATGGTACCAGAATAATTTCATCGAAAGACCTGAAAATCTTGAACGTTTACAACAATCCATTTCCGGCAGATCCTCAATATCAAATGGCAGAAACGATGCACCAACAATATAGTATTCATTCGCTCGGAAATACTGAGCAATGAAGCCGCCATCCTCAAGCATCGCTTCAGATGGTCAAGATACGTCACTAGAATGTCCCCTTCAAGACTCCCACGGACCATACTTTACAGCGAGCTAGTCAAAGGCAAACGACA